ATTGCTTTTACGCTATTTTTTCTTTTTTTCTTTCTGTACAATAGTTGCCAGTCGCGATATCTATTTCTGCTTCTTCAGCATGAAAGCCTCTGTGGGTGTGTGTGTGGGGGGGGGGGGGGGGTCGTGCCTGAAGACGTTCCTCTTTCTTGCGCGTGCGCAGCCCCGTATGTGTTTCCGCGAGGAGCATCGTAGCGTATTACAAGAACAACGAAATATTCGAGAACGATGACAAAGTACTTGAGTATGGTTTCTGTGGCGAAATATCTCTAGACAATTCTCCCGTTTTACACAACGGCGAGCTCACGGACTGATCGTGGATTGTGTGAGAGCCGGTATTGGGAAAACTGCAAAAAAAAAAAAAAAGAAATGTGTAATCGCTCGCTCGCGCGCGGGCGCTAGTCGCATTGCGACCTACATCTGAAAGGATATCGTGTGTCGCCCGCTTTTTTCTCGCATGGAGCTGTGCGTACATTTATACATTCAGAAAGAAGAAAGAAATAATCGCGAATACAACGGAGCTTGCGGTTTTGTCGGTTTCTAAATTGAAGTAGGTGAACGGAGATGCGGGACGTGTGATCTGTGCTTCGCGATTGTGTTCTGACGCACGTTTACATAGATGCAACGTATACACTTATTCCGTATCTCGGGTGGAATCTTTATGGCACATTAAGTTCACGTAAACGTTCGTTTATGGTGTGTACACCGGTGTAATTAAACAGCGAGCTAATATAGATGCGTTAGCAGACGGCACCCAGTTAATCTTTATTGATATATTGGGTTCTTGAGCGTGTCATAAACTTTTTTCGATTTCTTTCTTGTCTCTATATGCAAATGTGGCGTTGTGCTTGCACATTGAAATGCGTTCATTGCGCTCTGTTCCGAACACTTACGGAGTGTTTCCCCGCAGCCGCTGAGAGCAACAAATTTTAAAGGCAGTATACTGTGCATGCAATGCGCCGTTCGAACTTGAAGCTGCGGTACCTCTTGGAACCGTGGCAATGATGATAGCAACTGTGCGCTTCGCAAGGCGAAAGCTCTGCTCGTGTTCCGGTATAGACAACATGCCGTAACTAAACCCTACGAACATCTCCTTGGTAAGTGTGTGTGTGTGTGGGGGGGGGGGGGGGGGTTTAATGCATGTACAAAAGTAATCATCCGACATCCGGAATAGCAGGTCAGGCGGCAAACCATGCTAACATATCCGAGTATTTCATTGAAAATGTTCTGTCGATTTCTGTCGCTGTTATGCCGGGTCGTCACAGCACGCAGTCTCTAAACTCGAATACTGCAGCTTTGTAGTTTGATTTCTCAGTCTTACCTCTTGGTACATATGACGAAAAGCTAAAGTATCGTTATAAATGAAGAAAACTTTTTAGCATAACTCGATGGTAATGCCGCCCATGTGGTAACAATGCTACTCAGTGCATGTAATAACCCTGATATCGTGATTTTTATAGAGAACATGCTTTAAAGGGCTTGAAATGCTTTAAAAGGGCTGTGGTTTTTCTCTTTATTGTAAATTCACATTAGCATCATTTAGGGTACTTATTGAGCCACAGCCCACAGAAGGAAATCATATAATGTTTCTTTGGATAGGAAAGCCCGCCGTGATGACGTTTGCATTCAAACGAGGAGGAACGAAAGTGACTATATATATATATATATATATATATATATATATATATATATATATATATATATATATATACACACAGACAGGATGCAGCACAATCTCTTGTCAGCCAAATAAACACCGCTGGATGAAAGACCGCAACCAACCGCGGCGAACGTGGGCCATAACGATATTAACGGCCGAGAAAGGGAAACGCCCAGTGCGAGCGTTTTGTTTTCGCTCACGGGACAATGTATCAATTTCTGGGGATCACCTACCGCGATGAGTCGCACATAAGCTGGCACATTCTCGGGTTGCAGCCCGAAACAACAGTTTTCACAAAATCATTTGTGTCGTAAATGGAAGTGATGTTGCATATAGCTAAAAAGCTTACGGAAAGAAGTCCGCATAAAAGAAAGAGTGCACTGATACGACATAGTCGGATTGTCGGCCGTGGTTGTCTACTCGGCCGCTGACCCGAAGGTAGCGGGTTAGATCTGGGCCACGGTGGTCGCATTTTGATGGAGTTGAAATGAGGCCAGTGTGTAGTGTGCGATCTAATTTTCAAAGAACCCCGGGCGGTCGAAATTTCGGCAGCCCTTCACAATGGCATCTGTATTAATTATGTTGTGGTTTTCGGACGTTAAACGTCTTGTGTTGTTGTTGATATTCCGCGACTACACAAATATAAGGTAATGGTCTGCAGAAATGTACACAATTGAAATCGTGGTATGATTGTCTTGCACGCATATCAATGCACTCAATAGCAAGCGATGCATAACATATATAGTTTACAGTTTACAGAATGGATACGTTTTCCTGCAATGATATCGCGATAAGTGCGACAAAAGAATACTAGGAATGAGTTAGTTCACCTAGTTCCCGCTCTGTTGTTTTTCCGCGTTCACGGTTTGTTATTATTTCATCCATACATTTGCCGTTGCGTATTCTTACGAGTCTCGTAATCTACGAGTGCGGCTCGTTTGCGTTTCCTCTGAGCGAAGGAGCTTGCCGTCATGCACTCGGCATGGCTAACTATACTCCCGAATCGTTGCCTCAATTTTCGTGTATACGTGTACATCTCGTAACGACATGCGCCTTCATTTGCTTTCGAAATGCTGTATTCACTTTTACATGAACCGTAACCACAAACACTCCGCGTTCCCAGCCATCCTGCGCGCTGAACCGCTGCTTAGGGTCGAGTAGATGCGATACACCGTGTGTGCGTCGGTGTGTGCGCGCATCCGGGTGGCTCGACCGCGGACCGGACCCGGGCGTGGACTCTCGGGTGCTCGTTGAATCACGTGTCGGAGGTCAATTTGATTTCCTCTTCGGAACCTTGAATGGGGGCAGGGGGGGCATGCACACTGGGTTCGCCTGGGAAGATCCAGAGCGACGCGCGGGATAGGACGTGCTCTTGATTGGATCCGTCGTTGTCGCCAAACCGACACCTTGTTTAAGCTGGCAGCCGGATACGCCACCGGGATGAAAATAAACTCTGTTAGCTGCACCTTTTTATTTTTCCTATTTTTGTTAGTGGCAGAAGCAACCGCTGACGCCCATGCTTTTATTACAAGCACTTCCGGTTGAGCACTGGGCCCTTCCGGTGTTACGAATATACCATGTAGTTTTATAAAAATAAAATTAGTACCTGTTTAAGTTAAGGAGTTATATTAGGTACAAACGGTATATCAGCATAACTTCGCATAATGCAAGGGCCCATCATCTGTCGTAGATAATTAATGAAAATTAATTTAATGAGTTTCTTGAAAGAACAGTCATTTTTTTTGTGATTAGCTGAGATCGATTAAGCTACTGGCAGAGTATACATCTCAACCTCGTGCCTTTTCGTGCGCGTTCTTCGAGATCCGCTTCAGCAACGCGACGAAACACAATGTCAACCCGGGCAATACACCAGAGCGCACAAATGCCGATGTGCGAGTGACGCTACCAGATACCTAAGCCAACGATTATGGTCGCCTCCATAAGTTTTTACTTCTTCTTCTACAGCTACATAATAAATGGCGTTTGTTTTAATAAAGTTTTCATGCTGAGTGTTTCATAGTAAGTCAAGCAAGGTTTCAGGTGCAGTTTCAAATGTCGACAAGGTCGGCATTTGAAAAAAGAAAGAATTTTTGAGGTGAAATTCGCAAAACAAAGAAAACTGTCAATTGCGTCCCCAAAAGCTATTCGCGTAAATGGTAACAGAAGCCAGAAAAGTGCTACAACATTATTTAGCTTTAATATGGCATTCTGTGAAGTGTGCCCCATATTCTAAAGCATCACCAACGCTGATAAACGTAGGTTAGCTCTGCCTAAATATATATATATATATATATATATATATATATATATATATATATATATATATATATATATATAAAAAGAGATATAACAGACAGTAATGCCAAGGAATGTACACGGGAAGTTATTAGAACCAATGGAATGTAAATAAGAAGAAAGAAGAAAGAAAAGTGGATGAAAAAATTACCAGCCGTGAGCAGGAATCGAACCTACGACCTTCGAATAACGCGTTCGATTCGAAGGTCGTAGGTTCGATTCCTGCTCACGGCTGGTAATTTCTTCATCCACTTTTCTTTCTTCTTTCTTCTTATTTACATTCCATTGGTTCTAATAACTTCCCCTGTACATTCCTTGGCATTACTGTCTGTTATATCTCATTAATATTGTGTTAAAACACGGAAATACGAGCCCTTAGGTATACACTTCTCTCCGTTATTTTATATATATATATATATATATATATATATATATATATATATATATATATATATATATATATATGTGTGTGTGTGTGTGTGTGTGTGTGTGTGTGTTTGTGTGTGTGTGTGTGTTTGCTAAAGAGTGCCTTGAAGAACCAGTTGATACATGATACTGTGTGCAAACAGCGTAGGAACGGGACGAAGAGTAGTAACAGCGCTCGTGTTGTGTGTTACCTCTGCTCGTCCCGTTGTGGCGCTGTTTACACATAATTTTTCTCTCATATGTCAATGTGTGTCTACATTACGTGCTTCGTGCACTCCTTCAGTACGCCTTAACAGAACTCTGCAGTCATCCGATGTGCTAATGCAACATTTCGGCAATATATTTCCTGGCTCGATACCCAAGTTTGGTAAACAAAGTTGGGTGTGGCAGTGTTAGAAGGGCAAGGTGCCAGTTTCGGCTAATCTCTCTGTAGCAGGTGAATTATCGCTTTGTAGTGAGGCAGATCCTGAATAAGATACGAAAAAAAATGTTTATTCGAGCTAAGGGTCTACTTTACTTTTTTTTTCACCCTGAATGGATATAACACAAGTGTCAGAAGCAGTATATTAATCGTCCGAATGATTATACGAAAAATGTCTTCTTTTACTCTTCGTTTTTGCAGGCGCGGGAAGTTCATCAGCATCGGCGAGCACATCAGGTTGCCGGATGACGTCACAATGGGCTACATTGTGGGTAAGTAACGGTCGTGTAACTGCGTTTCCGCACGCTGCGAGCGTTTAGTGTCCCTTCACCCTTTTTTACGTGCTGAAATTCACGAACGGTCTAACTTAAACGCGCTGCCACACAGCGCAGGCAATCGGTGCTTCAGCTCGAACCTTCTTGCTACAGTTGGTATGCTGAATGAAAAGATGACTGGAAAGCTTTTCAGAGAGAATAGTGTAGAAGGGACCTCTGGCTGGCGCCGCGAAAGACCGACAAGACGACGCTGATGTCCTTCGCTGGAGCTGGTCGTCTACATTCTATGAATCGTACCGCTGCGTATCAGTGCCTGACGTGCGGGTTGGCCCTGTGATAGTCTGTATCCTGGCACATGCGTATAGCTTGAACAACGTGTAATTTTTGAACAGCTTGTTTTGTCGGAGGCCTGTTTGAGTTTCGCTTCTTGAAACTGGGACAGCTCATTGCTTTCCCATGGTATGTCGTCAAACATTTGTTCTGAGCAAACCTTTGATTGAGAAATTAGCTAGAGAGTTTCTGTGCGCGTGTGTGGTAGAACGGGACGCCATTGGAGATGGCCACTGTCCGGGCATGCGCCACCAGGAGCGTCGCGCGCCCAAGGCAGAGCAGCCGAGCGGGTACTCCTCTCATGTTACCCTACGAGAGGTGTTTTTTCTGGATTAGGTGAAACTCCTTCGGCACTCGACACACAAATGATACAAATAAAGTTGTGCAGAATAATTTGAATAATTAAGCGTTTATTTCCGATGCAGTGTTCTGAGCGTACAAGCTGAGGCTCTGAAAGGTCCCTCATTTCATGAACCCATGTAACTCTGGTGGAACTTCTTGGGAATTTGCCCAGTTTGCTATACCCTACATGCGGCAAAAGAACGCGAGAGCGAGAGAGAAAAAAAAAGTGCGAGTTTAAGTAGTTATTAGCAAGCATATGTGCAGAAGCTCTACTATAGCCGCTGATTTAAAACACTTCTTGTAGCAGCGTCTTGGGGCCGCGCCGTTGGGGAGGCATCGACGCGCTCCAAAGTGCGTTTTCCGTGTTTACTCGAGTGCGGCGACAAGGCGCGGATGCGTGGCGCGAACTTGTTTCGTCCAGGGACCCTAGTGGCATGCAGTTGATTCAGTCAGCCTGACGGGCAATTGGCCGTTTCGACCTTCGCCGTGGGTTCCGTTTGCAGCTTTGCTCGTGTACTGGTTGACTAAACGCGCGTGCGCGCACTGAACCGTGCTCTTGGCTTCCCTTTTCCCGCAGAGCATCTTCTCAAGAAGAACCTGACCGTGGTGGAGAACTTCCACTCGCACCTCGAGCCCATGAAGTTCCTCAAAAAGGAGGCCCTCAGCGACCAGGTCAGTTCCTTCCGCCCGTTTCTTTTAACAAAATAAGTATGTAATTAAAAGGTTCGATTAAAAAGAAATCTTCTGGTGAACGTAATTTTTCAAGTAATACCGATATTCTCGTTGCGTACCGGGACACCAAAACCGCTATCGGCAGTAGCACAGCTGGTACCAATAACTTGTCCCGTTTTGTCCGACTAGGCAACACATTTTAACAATTTTTTTTCACATTAGTAAATTAGAACATTGCAATACCAAAAACACCGTTCTTACCGCGAGAAAACGCTTGATGAGAAGAGAGAAAACGGGCGAAAATTCTCGTGGCACGCCACCTTGAAATTCCCGCACTATAGGGAGTGACGTGAAACATTTCGACGGCGTCTCCTAGGCTGTACCTAGTCCTTAAATGGTGAAGATGGAGTACTTTGTCCTCGGAGGGGACCGTAGGTTTATCACACCAAGCTTAAGCACTATTTATTGAGCCAAGATCACCAAAATGCGAAAAGTGCGCTTCGAAATACGCAACCTTCGGCACGGAGATTTCGGCGCGAAAGTTGAAAATGAAAATATGACCTTGATTTACTCCTTTATGAAAAAACATATGGTGATGAAATTGAGAACGCTATAGAGTTCTCAGAATGCAATTGATCAATCTTATTCAGTTGATTGTCTCACTTTTTATTTGGTTTGGCCTTGTCAGCGTCCTCGTCCAAATAGAAGCCTAGGAAAGGGAGAACTATGATAAAAAAGTACAGTCAGCTAACAGTTATCTCGCTGCCAACGCGCTTTACAGCGCCAGTTCAGTGCACCACTTAAGTAGTTGCGTCATTGGCTCGATTTATCTCTAGCTTACGTTCTAGGTCATCAGCTTTTGCCACCGGCTTTGCCACCTTATATGCTCTTCCAGTAACCCATGGTCCACCAACCAACACTCTCCACTTGAGAACTGTGGCTTGTCCGTAAGACCTTAGCATTCGCGAATTATCGGGTGGCGACTTGGGTGGTGTCGTAACTCGGTGTTCTGCGTCGTATCCCCCCGCTGACGACCAGTTGTCGTGATCCCACCGCTGATCACCAGTTGTTGTGATCCCGGGGTGCTGTGGTAGCGTGGTGTAGCTTCGGGTTGAGGAAACGACCGCTTACAAGATGGGGATACGAAAAACAAACAAGTTTATGGCACTATTTACAAATATTTACAGCATGAGGTTAAGAGTTCACAAACCACGAGCGTGGTGGTTAAACCTTTACTTGGTTCAGAGCCTTCACAAACTACGAACGTGGTGGTTGAACCTTTAGTTGGTTCAGAGCGACGTCCTGCACTCTGCGGCGCCGTTATAAGCCCTGTCGGGCTCCTCCTTCTTCAGTGGAACACCAATCACACACATACACAACAGGTGAGGGGTACGAGCATGCACGGCGCACGTGAACAGCCAATTTCGAGTCAAGATCACTGCACTAAAGGTGGCGCCAGAGAGTCTCTTGCTCGTCGTGTATGTCGCTGGTCGAGGGGTTCCAAGCTTCGGACAGCAGACATCAAACGGTCCGCCAAACGGTCCGCTCAATTAGCCGGGCACTTTGTGGCGGCGGTCGCCGTTTCTTCAAAGGAATACGCTCTTTGTTGTCCCCTCCGGAACGGCTTACAGCTTCGTGGCGACAGGACGTCTCATCCGCCGGCTAGCAGGGACAATAGCCGGCGAGCATAGACATTCGGCGAGTCGGCTACTTGTTTGGGGATTAAAAGAGCGCCGCTCCCCCGTCATCTCTGGACGCTGGTTCCGAAAAAACTGGAGTTCCAGGCGTGGGAACGCGGCCCGGCTACGCTTCTCAGCGACAGCATGGCGCCTGCTGACGCCGGTCATAACAGCTTCCCCCTCGCCAGATGAGTCACGGAGGGCAGCGGTCAACACTGCTGCTCGCAGGGACGACGAAAGGGTCAGTAGTTGAATGCCAAGAACTGGCCTTCGCTTGTGGCATGGTCCGGGTGATCGCCGATTCTTCGACAGCATCTCTGATACTCGACCACCTGTACAAGCAAGCACTCGGCCCCCTTCGATCAAACCAAGCCAAAAGAGGGATGGAAACCAATTTTCATTTCCTAGCTTTAACAAAAGCTCACACTCAAAACTCTCAGGACTCACTTGAGCTGAAAAACCGGACGTGCTACCTTACAAATTTACATAAGATGCACGAAAAAAACTAAAATATCAATTTTGATACAGAAAGAGCACCCCAGAATGGCGGCTGAGCGTGTCAACGTTTCCATTCAATTTGCCCTTCTTTTACCTAATGCCAAAATTGTATTTTCGAAGAATCAAGCTCTGCCTCACAAGGCGACTATTCTTTTAAGTCACGGTTTGCAGCCAAGTAAGGGGAAAATGGTCTGTCCCTACTTTAAATTTAGCACCTCTGAGATAACCTGCAACTGATGAATGGCCTACACAAGGCAGGCGCACTCCTTTCCTGAAGCGCAGTACGTTATCTCACGAGAGCCCAAATTCTGGCTCAAGTAGAACGCATCAGACTCGTTGCCACTGTCGTCGAGATATATAACGGCAGCCTCCTTCTTTTTGTCGCTGACTACTTACATCGGTTCTGTCCCGCTGAGAGCATCAGTCAGGAACTCGGATTTAGTGAGCGCTAATTTTGTCCGAACGTCCGTCTTTGTTTACGGCCGCCCATAATTGTCTTCCACTGCGACATAAAGCTCTCTAGCTTTTCTGAATCTTTGGCCTACACTGTGGCCAAAATACTCTTAGTTTGCTCAGAATTAGAAAAAGCCTACCGTTTCGCTCATATGATCCTTGATCAATTGTCTTCAAAGAAAACCAACAAAACAGATACAAACATTTCTTTCTAGAAGGTTCGTTTGGTTGAAGCAAATTGCCTTTGCTAATGCCTCTGAGTAAATCTCACTGGGCTCTCCTGAGCGTTCAATTACTCTCATTTCTAAGCATTGCAAAATACACGGCGCTATTAACCAAACGCATAATCCCTCACACTTTGTCTTTCTTACGTTACGTTGTAACACACCGTGTACAACACAAAAATAACCATAGGTAAAAACACCTGAAAAGCACCTCACAACAATCGCGAAGGTTTTTGCTAAAACCGGGCGCCAATGGCTCTCAATTCTCACAGCGAGCAACGACAACTCCACTGTGTCGCGCCAAGCTTAATCATCTTACCAAATCGATTGGTTTATGCTAGCATCTTCCTCAAATGCTCATTCACTCCAAATCGACATGGCAGTGAAGGCATACAATGTCACACTAAACCTTTGAAAAAAACTAGAAAAATGAAACAATTTTTTCAGTTTCTTTTTTTTTTTTGGTATATTCGTACTAATGATTAAAGCTTCGATGCTATTTCAGCCTTTGGTTTGGCGGTTTCCCCCCTTTTTTTTTTAAATTAAGACCGCATCTTGTAACCTACAAACTTAAATAGACCAATATGCATCTCCATTTCAATACTGAGTAGCCATATTTAACACGCACGTGCAACCATTGTTAAAACTGACCGCCCCCTTTTCTCAACTAGATTCCTCTGAATCGCACACGATGGGGTCGCGGTCCCGGCGGTTTTCGAGCACGCCAGAAGCTACAAAATGCACAAACTCTAAGCAGTGCACTGCCGTCATACCTCATTTTCCACTTCTTCCTGTTCCCCTCAGGAATGTGAAAAGGACGCCAGAAACAGGGTGGAGACAGGGGACATTGTCTCTTTGTGCTCGCCCCGACGCGGTTTTTAGCCACTCTGTGCTTTCGACTTTGATTCTTCAGGCAAGGCCGCTTTCCCGAAGTTGTCGAACGCAACCGCGCTTTTCGTTGGGGTAACGCACCTCGTTTCCCCCCTCTACACCTGGCTTGCCGCTTGTACCTCTCGGAACGCCACCATGGACGTTTCCTGGAACGGATTAACGGCCTACCCTCTCGTCTTTCTTGCGACTGAGTGGGGCCTGACCTAGGCTTGCACAGTGACGAACGCTTCTGCTTCTTTCTTTTTCGCCGATGTTTTCTTGCCTCCTTTCTCTCGATGCCATCATCATGTCGCGTCGGGAGCTGAGGGGTTGGGAAGCTCGTTGGAGCTAGTGCTACATTTTCCCCCACGCTCAAACATTTTATACTCGGTGTCCCGACGGACTGCCGGGCCAAATTATCTTTGTTAACGCTGATAGAATCATTAACTTGGCACTCTCCGATGGCATCGATGCTCTCCTGAAGCTTCGCGTTCTCACTCTCATTAGCCACTGCGCTAACCATATCTACATGTGAAAATTTTGAGACGTCCTCTCGAGGCATGGGGATGGTTTCCAGCTCCTTACTGAGCCCATTAGGGCTGCTGGCACACACCTCATCCTCGCAAGGACCGTCTTTTGATACTGTCCCTATCTCGAGACTGGCCAAGGGCTCGTTCTCGACATGCTCTAGATTGACGCCTTCGAGAATATGCGGGTCCTTTTCTTGCGCGATCCCTGGTCCCGGCGCTTCCTGACGCGCCTCAACTTCCAGCGCTTTGCGATGCGCCTCGCTTTCAGACTCCGGTGCGAGTCTTTCTTTCTTTTTGCTAATAGAAGTTCCGAATCTCCTGATTAGCTCTGCTTTGATGACTTCATAGTTGTTCGCGTGCTGCTCACTGAGTCGAGCAACAACATCCGCTGCCTCGCAGGGCAGAACCGTGCGTAGCTTCTGAGACCAGGTGTCTCGCTCACACTTAAGTTGACTACACTTTCGTTCAAAGAGTCTGAGATACAGGCCCATATCCCATGATACCTCATATGGCTGCATGTACCTAGACATCTCGAACTCTGCCTCCTTTTCGAGAAGTACTCCTCGCTGGGGTCCCATTTTCATACGCAACTCATAGTCTTGTTCGAAAAACTTTCTCTTGAGGCCTTCTCTTTCGTGTTCACTCTTTCCTTCCATCTGAGCTGCTCTTAGTTTTCTTTCGATGATGAGGTCCCATTCTTCACTTAGTTCCTCATCATCAGCCCCTAAATCATTAATCGCATGAAT